AACACAAAAGTCGTCTGGGCCTATGATACCCCATTCTGTGCGACACCAGTGACCGATCCAACCCTCGCGTACCAAGTCATGTGCTCTGAACGCCCGATGAATCAGAAAGCATGCTTTCCAATGTGCTTACTGAGAACCTTGTACCGGATTGAAAACACCGCATGATGAGATGGCTTAAAGCTTATGTAAGGAGGCGACGAACCCAAGTCTTCATAAGATAAAAAAGCAATCCAGAAAACAGGAAATTGGCATAATTACAAGCCCCCTCCCCCCAAAATAAAAGAATTATTTCGTTCGGTATTCTGAAACCATTGTCCATAATAACATGTTGTATTCGCTTTCGGTCATTTTTATTTTTTTGGGAAGAAAAGTATATCGCAAAATTCGTGAGTTGTCGATCGTATCGAGCTAACATGTAAACTCGATCTGCTGGTCGATACCAGCTATTCACATTGCCGTGTCGTGCCGCTTATAATTGTGTATAACTTACTGAACAAATGGCCTCGTTCTTGATATGTTTTCCTGTAACGAAAACTGACAGTTCGGCAAACTAAAAAAGAATGGTGTCCCTTCACATACTAGGACGGACTCGAGCATAACCTCGAAATCCAAGATGGACATGTCCGCAGATAACCCGTTCGCGGATCTCATGACGAAAGCTGTCAAGCTGAAAGGTGCTCAGCAAGCCCAGCTACGGACTCAATACGATTCATGGCCGCAGTACTTCCAGCACTCGCTATTCATGCAGGAATCCGTTGTGACCGTTCGTTCCAAGCCTTTTCCTGAACGAATCGCTGACGCTGAGGACATGAAAGCAGCAGGGAATGCTCATTTCAATGCGGAAGCGTTCGAAGAAGCGGTGGCTGAATACGAAAAGGCATTGGCAGTGTTCAAGTACCTGGAAAACAAGGATCCTGGATGGAAGAAGAAAGGGATTGAAGACGGTGATATGCTGATCACCGATTTCAAGTGCGCTGATCCTGAGGATCAAAAGCAACTGGATGCACTGAAAGTATCCTGCTACTTGAACATCGCAGGTAAATTATCGATCTCAACCATTTATGAAAGATATTTTGGCAATATTTAAAGTGATTGCTGCTGCAGTGGCTAAGTTCAAACTGAAAGAGCATCCTGTTTGTATCCGGGCATGTGACGACACGCTTGAGCTTGACCCTAAAAACGTAAAGGCTTACTACAGGTAAGGCTGCTTTCCTCTCCCTCAAACACAGGTTCTGATACACGCTTTGGTGGCTGTAGGCGAGCACAAGCTCTCATCACGCCTGCTTCATCCGGAGCTCTGGAGTTTGATCGAGCTATCTCGGATCTACAAAAGGCATATGCGATCGATCCTGAAAATCGAGGAGTGCGGAAACTGCTTCGAGAACTGCTGGAGCAGCGAACAAAGCAGCGAGCTCTTGATAAAGAAACCTTCAGTGGAATGTTCAACAGAGGCCAAGTGTACGACGAAGATTCAACGAAGAAAGACGCCGAGCTTGATGAAGCCGCTCGCGAAGAGGAGTTCCAGCAAGAGGTACAAATTAACCGAATTTTGGACTCTATTCTCCCTAATACCAAATTTGCCGTTTTTTAGATTGAAGAAGCTGAAGCCCTTGCACGGGGTTTTGAAGCACAAGGCAAGACCGAATACGCCAAGGAAATTAGAGACAAAATCACGCAAGCTCAAGAAGTTCGCAGCCGTCGACTAAAATGTGTCGACTTTTTCAATCCGACACCCGCAATGATCGCAAACGCGAAGGAAAATGGGTACGACGGGAGCAAACTTAACCGAATGAAAGTACATAATGCTGTTTTTTGTGTGTGTGTTTTAGAATTGATCTGACGGACCGGAATGTCCAGCAAATGCTGCATGACCTTCAAGAAGAAGAGCGAAGTAAAACTTCAGGGAAGCAAAGCGAATCCAATCTATCTCCTTCCAGTGCAGTTGAGTCCGTGGATTCGCTTCTCAAGTCCATGTCCAACACTGAGATCGCTCAACTTCTTAGTCGAGAAGGAATCGATTATCACAAAATTTCGGATCGCGAGCAGTTTCTCGAGACAGCGAGACAAGTTCTACTGTCCAAACTCGACAATACGAAGCCTACCAAGCCTTCGTATGCACGTACAATTGTGCTGCTCGCTGTAGCGTGGACTCTGCTGCGTCTGTACACATCAGGGGGTCTCTCTGTTCTAGGTCGAGTCGCCATGAACGCCATCACCGGCAATGATCAGAGCAGCGTGGTCCAAACAACTAAAGTCACGGACATCTTCGACGACGACTAAGGCAGCACTAGTAGTTCCTACAAAGACAACACGAAAATCTTGGTGCATTTTGATTATTCTCTTCTTTTTTGTCAGTCTAACATGCACAGCATCGTGAGAGGAAAACATCGAGACGCCCATATCGGTAGCAACGCACCTCACCGTAAGTCTTCCCTCTGGTGAACGCCATCCCTGGATATATGGCCACTTGTTTGCTAAAATTCCGCCTCCATTATAGGCTGGCTGTCAACTGCTGTGGAGCTCGCAGCAGACGGACCCCGGCTTGCGGGCGAGTTTGGTGCAACTTCACTGGTTCCAGATAGGCCCTGCGAGTTGGCACTGGGGCTGGTCGTTGACGTCGTTGCAATGGTATCAGTGGGGATCGACGGTCCGTGCGAGATCACCAGCTTTTCCACATGGACGCGATCCTGTTCCTGTTCCTCGCTACTAGAGCTCGATGTCCCGTTCGTCTTTTTGATTGGTGGCCGCTCACGAGAGATAGTTACCTCCACGCGTTCAAATTGTTCAGTCATCGATGCTTCCAGCTTCTTCAAACCTTCGTGAAACTTGTTCGGTGACATGGGCATTGGGTTTAAGTGACCGTTCTCGACGAATGATGACAACGGAGTACCTTCGCACTCTGACGGCATCGAGTTCTCGTGCTCCGGAGGTCGATCCGACTCGTCTGAGTCTTCTTCATTGAGCAGAGGACTGGGCGTCGGGCTGGGAGGTGGCGGAGGAGGCCGTAGTTCGGACACCAGATTCGTCACCTCGACGAGAGAGTCGGGGTCTTCACAGAAGTAGGTGAAGTCCTTGAATGTGGGGTCCTGCACTGGAGGTGCTGCCTTTTCACGACTACTTCGGCTCGATACGAGCGACAAGAAACCCTTTGACTTGGCTGCAGACTTGTCCGTGGGCGACTGCACCTCGTTATGCACGTCCAGATCTGTAAACTCCGTGTCCACGTATTCCACGTCAAGAGGGGACGAAAGCTTGGGCTTCCACGGGGGAGTAATTTGCTTTTTAAGCAGTAAGTCCCAGTCGATACCGCGGAAGTACGGGTGCTCGAGAATGTCGCTGATGTTGGTGCCAAGACGTTTGGTGGGGTCCTTCTGCAGGAAGCCTCGGAGAATCGACTTGAGTTCGTCTGTAAGCGCCGGCTTGGATGGGAAGACCAGCGGGTCGTTCTGGATCTTTTGGTACATCTTTTCAATGTTGTTGTCGTAAAATGGAGACTTGCCCACGCTCATCTCGTACAGCAGAATGCCCAGACTCCACCAATCGGCGGCTTTGCCGTACGATCGCTTGGCTTTGGGGAGAAGAAGCTCCGGTGCTGTGTACTGCGGCGACCCTGCCATCGTCTTGGCTCCCTTGTACTCCGACACGTGCAGCTTGGCCAGACCAAAGTCCACTAGCGCAACGTGACCCTCGGCATCGATCATGACGTTTTCAGGCTTAATATCGCGGTAGAGAATGTCGTGTTGGTGCAGGTGATGGATACCCAGCACCAGTTCAGCTGTGTAAAAGTGCGCACGGTCCGACGGTATCCGACAGCTCGATCCTTTACTCATGTGGTGGAAGAGGTCACCTCCACCGTAGTAATTCATACCTAGGAACAGCTTCGTTCGGCTTTGAAAAGCGATACGCAGCCCTGCAATGAACGGGTGGTGAATGTTCTGAGCCACGCGCATCTCTGTGAACGAGCTCTCGACGTCGTACTTAGTCATCTTGCCCTTCTCTAAAATCTTCAATGCGTAGATCTGACCGTCACTCTTCTTGACAGCGTTCACAACAGTACCGAATCCACCCTTACCGATCACATTGTACACTGTGAAGTCCTTCATGGAAATACTGAGCGATCGGTTGGATCGGATGGACGCGTCCGACATCTCCGAGTACGGATTCTTGACGCCAAAAGACTTCCAGCTCCCTGTAGCGCTCTTGAGATCCACGTCCGCACGGAAGCGTAAGATCCGGCCATACGGACCGAAACGCACGCGGTGCGACCACGACTGCGTGATGACAGCACCAGAGTGTTTGCTCTTGAGCGTCTCCGTACCCTTTACCGTCAAACTCTTGCCATTGGGATCCAGCTCGCATTCCTGTACTTTAATCTCGATCAGATCCACGTTGCTCTGGAATGCACCTAGGAAGTGCAGCAATCCTTCACGGCCGAAATAGTCGCCACTGAAGGGGGTACTCTTTGGGTACGAGGACGAAAAGACCAGGTCCTTGTTAAAGTACGACAGTAACTCAGTCACCACAGCGGCATCTCCCCCAAGCATACGACGATAGGCCTCATAAGCCTTGTCTGTGTGCATGTCCGGCAGCGCTCCATGGCGGTATGTGCCGTACACTGGTCTGTTATTCTGCCGCATGCTCACCGTGTCCACTCCAGCCTGCAAAAATCACAAAACATATAATAAAAACACTCAGAACAGAGAATAATTTTCCATAAGCCCTGCTGTTGCCCACCTCTAGGAAGTAAACCCAAGCGATTTGGTCGAAATGAGTGGGTACACTGCAGTAAAAGACTTTTCCCTCGGTTGTCTCGAAGGAAAAGTCGAATCCGTGGCCGTTCTTGGCCACTTTGTCCATCTTGACTGACGCCACGTTCACGCGGCCCTTCAAATGGCTGCGATTGCGAGCGTCCACCTTGTTCTCGTAGTCTGACAGCAGATAAATACACCGTCAGTGGCTTAACCCTCTCTCTCTCTCTCTCTCTCTCTCTCTCTCTTCCTCCCCTGCCTACGTACACGACACGAGGTTTCCTTCAAGTGTGAAGAAGCGCATCTTCCAGTTCCTAACCAAGTGTCCTCTCTTGGTGACGTATCCCTCCCACTCCACCATAGGGAGATCGAGACTCTCGACCGCGTTGTCACCAGAGCTCATCGAGTCTGGCGGGGTGTTGGCGCTCTTGCTGTTGTTACGCGACCGTCTCATACTGGAGAAGAGCGATTTGGAGTTGACGCTGCTGCTGCGGGTGCTGGGCTGTCCCAAAGACGAGAGCGACGTGGAACTAGCGGACGTGGGGAAGCCGCTCTGCTTGACCGCCTGACGCCGCGAGTCCAAGGCGCTGCTGCTGCCCACGCGTCGACGTGAGTCCTCCTTGAGGTTGGTGATGTCCGATCCCGCAAGGGGGCGGCTCAACTCGGCGCCCATGCTGGAGAACTGAGGCGAGAAGAAGGCGGTCGTGCGGTCGCGGCGAGCACGACGAAGCGGGGAGTGCGGAAATGATTCCGAATCAGAGGGTTGAAAAGGTGAGACAGATAGAATCTGATACACCTGTGGTAATTAATAGTAGGTATATTTGGCATCATAGTACAATGAAGTTAAGAGGTAGTGATAACGTATAAGCTTTTGTTGTATGATTGCTGATGTATGTTGCGATTTGAGAGCTTGCAAAGAGCGGGACTCAGTGTTTTTTGTCTTTGGAGGTTTAGGATAGCCCTTGTCCAGCCAAGTGTGCTGCTGCTGCTGCTGCTGCTGCACGTACTGGCTTGGAGCAGGTACTCACGACCATCACACAAATCGAGCCGTCCGCCAAACGGCAGTACTTAACTCTAAGCAGTATGCCACATCGAGTCTCCACTCAACTCGACACCAGCCATTTACAGTACCAGTCCCCATTTTTGCAATGCCGCGATTGATCGCACAAAGCCGGGTGCTTGGGCTTCCTTTCGGCCAATTGCCGCAAGCCGCGTTTGGAATAAGGTCGTGTCGGACTGAAGCATTTTGAATCTCTGAAGTTGACTCTTCTTGCAGAGCTGCTTTAGCTGCAACATTATATGGCGACGATGGGAGAAAACCTTATCTAACTGATAATTCTGCTTGCTTACAATTCAGTCTTTCTGTATTGTCTGGAAACCCGCCGAGACGTTAAAATACGATGCCAGGATGCCAGCCGATTTCATGAAATGTGTGTCCGCAGTCTAGACTGGACTTCAGTGTCGCACGACGGCGTCAACGTTGTCGTTCAGTCTTGCACCTGCTACAGTAGACAGATTGTATTCTTGCCAGCGGATATTTCTCCATGTTGACAAGAATTGAAAACTTTGAAGTAGTTTCGATAAAAGTTATATTATCAAGCTTCCGATCAATCGTTGAAGTATTTTTGGCTAGTCTCGACCAGTCTAAATGGAGACGTACTAGGACAGCATCTTGTCCTGCCAAGACGCATTTCCGATCTCTCCTTCATTGTCCTTTCGGTCGGAGGACAGATAACTCTGTGAAGGTGTTATTCAAGCTAGACAAGATGAGCACATCGACAGTTTTCCAGCCAAAACCTTCGAAGCCGCCGCGAACATTATTCCTTACGCTAGAGTTATCGCTTGCTTTGTACACCGCCGCTTGGTTGTTCATCCTTATGTTCCATGTGGCTTGCGGTGTGTACCTCATCTGCGCCGCGATGACCTATTGGTATCTAACAAAAGGAGTTATGCCATTTTACGTCTCCATGTGGTCGCTTACTGGTATTCAGAACTACCGTCTTTACGGCACAATGTTCGGTATTGTCGGGGGCATGCACGCACTGCAGGTGCTGAATATCCTTATCATGTCGATCCGGGCTCGTTGTCTAACGCTTCGTTCAGAGGGGCCAACCATGATCCAGTCGCTCGTCTCGAAAAAATTGGCACCAACTCGCATGGTGACACAGAACTCGAACCAACCGAACGTACATGTACGACTCGCAGGTCCATTTGCACTCATCTGGAACAATTTGTTCTCCCGTACCGGAATATTTGGCGTCGAGAGCGAGCATTTCTCAACTGTTTTCGCAGTACGTGAGGTGCTTGAAGCGAGCTCACAGACCTATCAAGCATACCGAGCCAGCAACCTGATGCCACGTGCAGGGATGAACGCTTTGATGGTGGGGTTGCTTGTCATGAACTGTTGGTCGACGGCGGGCATTCAATTCTTTTTTCGTACGTCTCCAGCTCTCGAACGAGTTGTCACGTTAACGTACGATGCTCTACTCAGCTTTGGCATGATGATCGTGGTTCCTTTGATTATCTTCATCCCATACGTTGAAGAATTTAACTTTGAGTACAGCATCTTCAAAAACTCGGATTCCCTGTACGACCCCGTTTCTGCTGCCACTTTGGTCCTGGAGAATCGGTTGATTTTTGCGTCCAGCATTTTTGACTTTGCTACCAAACTCATCCCGCAG